TCCTTTCTTTGCCTGTGTTCCAAATGAAAGCCACATATTCATGTCATGAAAAATTCAGCTTTGTCATCATTTTGCTTAGTGAATAATAAAAATTAGAATACTAAAATAATGAATTTTAGCTCCCCCAAACTGGGTTTGTGGTTTTGTCACTAAGAAAGTCACATAGTTATGTGAAGCACTTAACATTATTTCCCACTTCTTCCCGAGAATCAACATGAGTAGAAGGTGGAAGCTTCTGGAGAATTGTTTGTTGAGTTCTTCCTGCTTACCTTCAGTGGATGCTGTACTGTTCTTATTTAGATTGCATTGTGGGTGTTCATTCCTGAAAGCTGATATTACTAGGGCAGATAACTCCAGAGGATATTTCCCAGCGTATGGCAGGTCTGGAAGCCATGACGCTTCCTCAAGATCCTCAGAGATGAAGGCGACCTTGTCCTTTTGTAGCGCTGAAAGGTTGGTTACATGACTTGAATTTGCCTTTTGATTTTTTGGTTATGGTTAGTTTTTACTTACTGTTTTTTACTTGATGTTTTTAGTGTTCATTTTATCTCCCTCACATTAGCAGATAACTAGCCTTTGCTCACATTTTTCTCTTTTTTCTTTTCTTTTTTTTTTTCTTCCTTTTTTTCCCCTTAGAGACAGGAAGAGAAAAAGAAGTAGGCATGTATGGCCTGAGCCTTGATGATGTTGAATTTAAGTCTGGGAGGTCTGTTTTCAGGCAGTATTTCTGTCCCATATCAGCTGTTCCAAAAGCAGTTGTCATAGAGCAGAATGGTCCTTGGTACTGCTCACATGCTCTGTTCCTCTGGGGGCAGTGGACCTGATGCTGTTACCTGCTGCTTTCACTACTGGACAAGGGGATGAGCCAACTCGATGTTTTTTTCCTCCTCAGAGTTAGCAAACACCTCTGTACTTCTCTAATTACAGTGGTAGAAGCAGTCTCTGAAAGTATGACCTGCTTATTTGAAAGTTCCTTACATAGCTCCTTACATCTAGCTGTGTTTTCCTACTTTTCTTTCTATTCTTTCTATTGTTTAATATCACATATTAAAATGAACTTTGAACCCAGACTCCTTGGTTGAGATACTCCAAGACAGCATCAGAAGTCAGCCCTGCCAATCACCATGATCAGTAGGAGCTTGTGTCCCTGCAGAGTCATCCCTGGATTCAGAGAGGAGTTCAGGGAGTGAATCTGCTTTTCCTGCTGTGGGGT